AAAATTTTTTGGGGGGGGGGGGGATTATATATAACAGCCCTAATTAAATGAGTTACATCTATTTGAGAAGCAAAATATAGATCATCTTGATTAAAGATCTTAAATATTAGTGCATTTTATATAGACGTTTTTTACACTTGATTCTTTTACTTGTTTTAATGATTAAAACTCATGAAAACTAAAATTAAGCATTTCTTATTTGTTGTTCTCTAACAGCCACTGTATAAAGTGAAAAGTAAAATGAAGGAAGTTTCTCTTTATCTCTCCAATCATTATTCAGCAACGGTCTGGTTCTCTCAAAATACAGTTTCCTTTCCAGTGAATGAGTTTTTTCTGGTAAACAAATGAATGCGACGCTGCCAATCCAGAGGCCGTAAAAACATTCAGATGGAGAATTCAAAGCAGCCAAACCACGAAACCATGCTCCGCTCTCCGCTCTCCGCCCTCAAACGAGTCAAACGCTAAGAAGACAGACTCTCTCTTTCAGTCCAGCACAGTTCAGTCTTAAAGGGAACCTATTATGCAAAATTCACTTTTGCATGGTCTTTGGACATAAATGTGTGTTGGCAGTGTGTGTACACAACCACCCTATAATGATAAAAATCCACCCACTCCTTTTTTTTAATCCCCATAAATCATAAGCAGTGTCTCCCAACTACCTGTTTTCAGACTTGTTGCTAATGTGACGTCACATTAGCCACAGGCCCCGCCCACGAATGTTGACAGACACTGCCGTTTTAACATAGAACCTCCCTAAACGAGTTCACAGCGAGTTGTACAGAGTGTTTATTTGCAAAGGCTAGCACCGGTATTGCTGGAGCTTGAGCTCTTGGAGCTCCGCCCTCTTCTCCGGGAGCACCAGCTCATTTGCATTTAAAGGGAAAGACGAAAATGGCGCGTTTTGGCTCATACCCTAAAAGTGCCAATTTTAACAAGCTATAAAAATGATCTGTAAGTTATTTTGAGCTAAAACACACACACACACACTCACACACACTCTCTCTCACACACACACTCTCTCTCACACACACACTCCACACACTCTCTCACACACACTCTCTCACACACTCTCTCACACACTCTCTCACACACTCTCTCACACACTCTCTCACACACTCTCTCACACACTCTCTCACACACTCTCTCACACACTCTCTCACACACTCTCTCACACACTCTCTCACACACTCTCTCACACACTCTCTCACACACTCTCTCACACACTCACACAACCACACACATTCTGGGGACATCAGAGACATATTTTACATCTTGTAAAAAGGGGCATAATAGGTCACCTTTAAACTTAACTAAGGTTTGCATCTCCCAAAGAGGAAAGTGTGGAGCAGCGGGCCATGTGGCGTGAACTGCTGTCCACAGCATGATTCTCAGCACAGTAGGGATTGAATTTCGAATATTCGTCAAATTTTAAATAAAAATCCACATTCGAATGCAAAAACGCTGCATTTGAATTTTAGGTGTGCAGCCTTTTCAGCGGCGCACGAGATGCGATGATGATGTAAGTGTCACTGCATTATAATATTTTTGTAAGCCTATCCAGTTGAAGCCACTAGATGCGGCGCTGCTGCGTTGTTAATTACAAATACTGCGGAAAAAGAGAACATCAATGCGGAGGAGATCTTCAAATCTTTGAAAGATCTTTCCACATCTTTCAAAACTGAAACCAAGCTGTTCATGCAGAACACATATTTCGCGCATTTTCTAGAGGGACATCTATCACCGTTGCACTCGCGTCTCGCACAACAGAGCCACATGTTTAGAAAGCCATGTAAAATTAATGCAGGTTTAACTTTGAAAAAAAAAACATATCTCAAGACTTTTTGGCAGGTTTTTTTCCCCCACCCCACTGCAACTCATGTTTTTAAATGAAAAAAATGTACTCTGTGTGATTTCGGTCCTTTGTATTAAACTATGCATACAAGATGCTGTTTTGTTTATAGTTGTTTAAGCAACTTAATAAATTATAATTGGTTTAGAAACATTATTTTAAACATGCACTTTGAATAAACGTGCATTAGTAATATTTTGCTCGATGCGCCCTCTTGTGGCCTCAGGAGAGAAGCCAGAAGCTTTTCTTCACCCTAACTGAAATTATGCATTTTAAATTAGAATATAATTCGAATTTTAATATTTAACTACAAAATGCGAATTTAGTTTTTCAGAAAAAAAAAAAAAAAAACTTGCCTAGTTATAAGAAACTATGACCTCTATTACAACTTTTAATTCATTGCGGTAAAAAAAATTAATAGACAATCATACTGTGCAATAAAAATGGTCAAATTAGCTCAGTGTAGAGTGTAAGAGCCATTCATAAAACAGTGAAACAGCTCAATTCATCACGTGATTCATTCACTCACTGAAGTGAGATAGAGTTTAATCAGTGCTCTGTGACCTGAATCTGCATTCAGATGTTTGACGTGACGCTTACAGTAACAATGACGTCATAATGTGTCTTTCATACAGACTTAAGGGGAGTCTAATACACACATTATTATGACAATAAACTGAAACCCACACAAACACTCAAATAGATACAAATATTGTAGTAGAGGAATTTATATTGGCCAATTTGCATCTTATTTTAATTTTCATTAAAAATTGTCGAAATTTTACTTAACAAAATTGTATTTAATAATATTTAATATACATATTTATTGATTTCCCTAAATATACCATTATATATTAAGATGCTCTCTCACACTCTCACACACACACTCACTCTCTCACACACTCTCTCACACTCTCTCTCACACTCTCTCTCTCACTCTCTCTCTCTCTCAC